CAGGGATCGAAACCACAGCCGCAATTTTACTATATTCCAATTAATAGATGTGACGCACGTCTTCTGTCCAGTGATCATCGATCATCACTATTAACTTCATAAACATTGGACACAATGATGTGTTTATTACTTTAGGAATGTGTTCTCCTCGCTCCTCCTTTCGATAAGTTTATCTAAATTATCTTTTATTTATCACCCAATAACACATTCTACAGTGGATATCGCTTGTGTGATCAATTTCATAATCTCCTTAGGAGATATCGCTTAACACGAATTTGATTGGTCAGTTAAAAAGGAACTACTTTTTTATTTTCAAAGAACAGTTCCTTTTTTTATTACAATTAACTTCTTCTTTATTTATTTAATGAGCTATTTTTATTTAATTGACCTTGATGGAAACATTGGGTCAAAAAATGATGTATCACTACGCCGTAATGTAATCAGGTTCAGTAAAAGTGAAATCTATAGCAAAGAATTATATTTATTTATTTGTGCATGTAATAAAGGATTGGGTGATAAATAAAATCTCCTACTCATCTTTTTTGATATCAAAATATATCAACATTCGTCGATAAAGTAAAAATAAAATCGGTAGAGGCTCGTAGGAGATTCTCTATATATTCCATCTGCTTGACCGGTTAGGTATTAGCCGCGAAAGCTTATTGAGATTGTAAGGCGTGGTTTCCTCTTGTCAGTGGTGCAGGACGGAGGGCCTGATAAGGACAGCTACCTAGTCCTTCAGATGTGACGGAAAACCGAGGTCCCGTGTATACATTGGCATGCCCCTAAAAGATCCCTTGCTAGTTGGAATTTGATATAAGAGTAGGCCATAGTGACTCTGCCCGGGCAAACTTTACCTCATAGCACACTGTACGGTGTATGTCCGTCTTCATTAGCCCCAGTTGGAGCAGAACAGTAGGGCGTTTCATTTCATTTCATTTCATTTGACATGTTAGGACACAAGCAATATACAAAATACTATTTTAGACTTAGACGTAAAGATACATTATGGGATATTAGATAAAGAGCTGGTAGTTCTCACTATAATAGTTAAAAACTAGATAATGTAAAGGGAATTTGCTACAAATTTCAGTCAAATTGGTCCACCCTCATGTGCCAGGTTGGCGATGGGTAAAGTTAACATAATGTGTTACTGGAACCCGCTGTTATCATCTTTGAGAAGTACCAGTGAATATAGTCTCGTTAGTGGTTGATATTTAGTTTTAATTGACCAAGGGAATTCTGTAATCAACTTTGCTGTAATTTTTGTGTTCTCGACAAAGTCACTATGAAAAGGTCGGACAAAAGTGGTTGCATAGCTATTCTCACCTTTCAAAAAATTATGTGTTTGTCCCAATATCATCCCTGCTCGTTGCGAGAAGAAAAATTAACTTGTCATCTCTAAGACCAAATCGGTGTTCAACAGGGATCAGTCCCATTATCTGTGCTATTTATATCATATATAAATAACTTCTGTATCCCAACTCAACTGAAATGTCAAAATAAAGGTTAAAAGTACAGTTAATATTCAACTTCAAAATCTTTATTTCAAACAATATTCAGTTCGATCAATTTCAATTTTGAATCCTTGTGATATCTATATTTATTCATTTATTCATTTTATACATATTTTATTTTTATGGGTTTTTTGTTTTTGTTTTTTTTTTATTTTTATTTTATAGAGATTTATTTATTTATGTGTTATTCTGATTTTATAGATATTTAGCTTTTTATTGTTTCTATACTTGTTTTTAATGTAAAGTGCACCTGAACAAGTATGTGGAGAATAGCGCTATATAAGTGTTGTATAATAATAATAATAATGATACAGTATATTCAAATCAATCTTATTGTTATTGGCGTTAACGTGACAGTCAACTTCGTTAAATATACATTTCCACTAGTTGTTCAGATGGGAAGGAAATCCGCAGTCGGTGTTGGCCAGCTAGATTTTCCAGCGTAGTGTCCACTAGTTGTTCAGATGGGACGGAAATCCGAGGTCCCGTGTACATATTGGCATGCACATAAAAAAACCCATGATAGTTGGAATTCGAAATAAGAACAGGCCGTAGTGCCGCTGTATGCGTAAATACCCCCACCACAGCACACTGAATGGCGTATAGCCCAAGCGGTGTTGGAAAAGAGGACACCAAACCGTAAACCCCATTTCGATTCACTTATTTACCGGTATATTTCTAGAAACATTGTTATTTCCTGAATTAAATCACAAGTTGTATCTATACTACGTCTTCGAAACCTAAGCTGTCTCCTTTACAGGCGCTGTGAGCCTCTCCAAGAAACTTGTCAACGAGTTCCGGCGAAATACTAAATTTGGAGTATGTCCTGAATCTTGGATAAGATACACAACTAACGGAAAAAATTGCACCATTGGCATCGATCAGATAGCTGGAGTAAATGTGTTCATGGTGCTTGGATATGGCTAGTTTCGAATGAAAAGTACAGCCATTAAGTTTTTAGTCGGTCGGATAGTGGGAGAGAGTAAGCGCTGCCACTGCACTTAATATAGACAATAGAGAATCGTGGGGATGGATCTATCTTGACAGCGATGTCACTATTGTGGAAGCAGACGTTAACGAACCCTTGACCGTTGGAAACCCTTCAAAGAAATAAATATGTTCCATTTTTTCTTCTTCACACTCCTTCCTCTAAAATCTATACAGATCCCGGTGCTGCCAGGCGGTCACCTCAAGTACTGACTGGACCCGACGTTGCTTAACTTCCAGTGATCGAACGAGAACTGGTGATATCAACGTGTTGTGGCCGTAGAGATTTCTTTCTAGTACAGTGCAGAAAATGATCTACAGCGTCAACACAACTCATAATAATTTGAATGTGATTAACTGATACAACTGATTCAAGGCGATAACCCCAACCATGATAAACATGTACACGCCAATACTTTTATAAAAATACTGAACAATCGTATTACTTAGGATAACTCTAGAGGTACCTCAGATTTAAGGAAGAATTTGGTGATTTTCCTTCCCTTTAGCTGGAATAACGATTGTCCATAGTTGTTATCAGCATACGACTTGGAATAAGGATTTTACTTAGGGGTGTTTTTATTCTTAATTTTAAGGAATTTCTTGCACTTAAAATATTTTCAGCACATGGACCGTGGGCCTTAGCCACTACTTAGCCCAAAGCTCTGCCAATTCATGTTGATAGACATGAAACGTGGTATGCTGTTCCTTGGACAGAAGGATGCGATGACGTCCCTAGCCCATCATACGCTGGTACTTGTTTCTTTAGCAAAGTTGTATGCCAAAACTAACATTTTTGTGATGGTAAGGTATTGGCACATGAGTACGTGTACTCGCAAACTCAATGTCGCATATCCTTGGTTCAATGCCTATATCTAGCACATAAAGGAAATATGGAAGGGCATGTAAAATGTGTATCAGTAACTCGGGCTCTTAAAGGACAATATATGTGATAGAACTGGTTAAACACATTCCAAATATAATTTTAATACAGAGATCATTGAAGATGACGAAAGCAAAGGGAAAACACGGGTTATCCTTCTATATTATGGCGATATATTAGATTCAAAATTATGTCGTGCTGTCGTCTAACTTATAACTTCTATTCGTGTAATTTCTAATCTAAGATAATGTATAATCTAATCTTTTTTATCAGATGGGGCTTCTAATCTTGCAATTTTTTAAATTCTATTTCATGTTACTTTCACTGCCAATTTAATATTTCTCAATGCAGATCTCATAATAAAATATTGATTATTATAAAACACCTGTTTTTCCTGTTATTTCAATCGAGTTCATAATAACAAGTAATTCTTCATGAAATTTAACGCCCTGCTGTTGTGCTTCGACTGGGCTAATGAGGACAGGCATACGCCATTTATAGTGCTATGGCCTACTCGAAACTAAGATATTGTTTAATTGTGATGCTACGATCAATTGTTTAATTGTGATGCTACGATCAATTATGAAACTAATTTTGATCTCCCTCGGGCCCTTAGCCAAGACGCCCAAAGCTATGTCCCTCTATGAACACTGCATGGTGTCGCTATTTCTTGTAAGAACCCGCATAGTGTCGGTATCTCGGACCATGAGCCGGGCGGCTAAACGTCTATCTAGGACCACTCTATGATGTCTGTTCCACAGGCTCTCAGCTGAGGGGGGTGTGGGAACGTCCTTCTGATGTCTAAAGAAACCTAAATCCCACTCGTTCTTATAAAGAGGATACGTGAATAAGTCATGGATTGACCCCCAGGTATTTGGTCAGACATTTCCTTTGTCTGATTGGTCAGCTGATCAGAAGCTACCCCGGATTTAAATACAATGTACTAATATGGGCATCAAGGAGGACGAGTGTTTACGTCTTTAAAGATTGGGATTACCATATTTGAATTTTCCAGAATATGGTGTCATTAACCGAGTATAATATACAAGGTATTTCTCATTATATAATTAGCTCGGTTCTCGTTGTCACTAACGACTTCAATACATTAAACAGAGCATTAATTAAAGAACTTAAATAACCTCTACAGTATATATATATATAGTATTATACATTTTTATTGTAATAATTCGCTTACGCGTAGGAGTCTTTAGCAGTGGGAGGAAACCCTTGGACCCGGCGAAAACCCGCGGTGGAGGGGAGTCGATACCATATCACTTTGACTCAATGACAGACCTTGTGATCTCATGCGCACACGTTAAACCACTCGCTCCCCCACCCTTTAAAAAAGTTAGCCTTGAGGGCTCCAGGGGTGGTATAAAGTGTTCTTGAATACTGTAAATCATTGATAAATGAACAAAAATGGACACGCCAACCGGAACCATCACTACTGATAGACTGGGCTTTGACCGATGAAATGGCAATCACCTGAGACAGCACGAAATTTACGAAACCTTATATATATTAATGAAGACCTTATCTAATCGTAGAACTATACACGTACAATTAAACGTCATCAAACTCTGATAGCAAACGACAATTTAAAGATAAGATTTTCCTTATCCCTTCCTTTTCTTGAGATAATCTCCAGACCGTCTCCGTCTCGTTAGTAAGGTAAGAACTGTTTCGTTATGTGGTGAATTTAGTGTATTTTTATGGGTGACAATGGCGCTCATGGAGACTTGCGAAAGACTGGGGCACATTTACATCAACACGCAGCAAAGAAACTATAGAATTCGATGAAGCAGTAATGTGCAAATGTTAAAATTGGGTCTTTCTTAATTTGACATCATTTTGTTATACATGCCAGAGTCCATAATCGAGATATAATATGTTGGACTTTTAGAGGTAGAATCGACATAAATATGGATATACTGCCATCTGATTTTGGTCTAGTAATTTCCTACAACTTTTATTGTATTTTTATATATTGAGTTTGGGTTGTTTTAACAGTTTAATATGTCAAAGGCTAGGATCGTTGAGAGAGAGAGAAAGAGAGAGAGAGAGAGATAGGGGGTAACGTTCACTCGACACAAACTAGGTCATTTCGGGACTAACATATGGTTCAAATTTTATTTCAATGATTCGCTTGCGCGTAGGGGTCTTTAGCAGTGGGAGGAAACCGGAGAACCCGGAGAAAACCCATGAGGTTGGGCAGGCGACCCTACCTTTGTCACATACAACCGAGGAATCGAAACCACACCAGTTGACTCAATGACAGACCTTATGATACAGCGCGCTCGCGCTAACTATTCGGCCATCCAACCCCAAAGCAATTATAAGCCAACCCTCTTCCATTGTATATTGTATAATAATAGAGTCCAAGAATCACGATTATGTTGGGTTTTTTTAAACACCCCTCTCCCTTCCGCGCCAAAAACAACGAAATGATACCAACATACAAATAAGAGTTTTCTGGAAATGGCCCTGTTCTGTGCTCTATCGTTGGTAAAAAATCAAGGTAATTGAATAGATGAAAACAATTAATTCACAAAATATTAAATTCCTTGTACTTTTAATTTGTTGTAGAAAAGTGATCATGTTGCTGTTAGTTATTGTTGCTGTGTTATTCTCCGGTTGTTTTGCGTAAGTTATGGAGATATTCATCGCCTACAAATACATTTAATTTAACGCCCCCACATCACCAACATTTGCCTTTAATTAACCCGCTCCGCCCCCACCCAGCGCCAATCACTATACAATTAATGATACCACCAATACCATTCATTATGCCACCGATACCATTCATTATACCACCAATACCATTCATTATACCACCGATACCATTCATTATGCCACCGATACCATTCATTATGCCACCAATACCATTCATTATGCCACCGATACCATTCATTATACCACCAATACCATTCATTATACCACCGATACCATTCATTATGCCACCGATATCATTCATTATGCCACCAATACCAGTCATTATATCACCAATACCAGTCATTATACCACCAATCCCATTCTTTATACCACCCCGTAACACAAATACCATAAAGTAAATCACCTCATCAGCAACATTTTAATATCTTTAATTAACCCATCCGGTTACCAACAAATATCATAAAGTAAATCACCTCATCACCAACAAATATCTTTAATTAAGCCATCCGGTTACCAACAAATATCATAAAGTAAATTACCTCATCACCAACAAATATCTTTAATTAAACCACCCCATCGCCTACAAATATCATAAAGTAAATTACCTCATCACCAACAAATATCTTTAATTAAACCACCCCATCGCCTACAAATATCATAAAGTAAATTACCTCATCACCAACAAATATCTTTAATTAAACCACCCCATCGCCTACAAATATCATTAATAAAACCATCCCATCGATAATGGGTACATGGTCGTAAATGCTATATCGGTTCCTTTAAAGTTAGGACGGAGATTTGTACCCACAGATTTATGTACAGCTCTAAGCTAGGGTTAGGGTTCGGGTCAAGGCGTGGTATTCTAACAGATTTGTACCCACGGATTTATGGACAGCGCTAAGCTAGGGTTAGGGTTCGGGTCAAGGCGTGGTATTCTAACAGATTTGTACCCACGGATTTATGGACAGCGCTAAGCTAGGGTTAGGGTTCGGGTCAAGGCGTGGTATTCTAACAGATTTGTACCCACAGATTTATGTACAGCTCTAAGCTAGGGTTAGGGTTCAGGTCAAGGCGTGGTATTCTAACAGATTTGTACCCACAGATTTATGTACAGCTCTAAGCTAGGGTTAGGGTTCGGGTCAAGGCGTGGTATTCTAACTAACACATTATAATAAGGGCGACGATATATAGCATCCATCGTATCTTCCTACTGTTCCTGACCTTATCTGTTTTGAGCCGCGTTGACTCAGTGAGTAGCATGTTGACTTGCTAGCGTTGAAGTCCTGTGTTTGATCACCGTGTTGGCCGTAGTTGATCCTTGTCAGTGGTGCAGGATAGAGGGTCTGGCAAGGGACAACTTAGGGTCGTTCGGATGGGACGAAATACCGAGGTCCCGTGCATACATTGAATATTGGCGTGCACGTAAAATATACCGTGGCAGTTGGAATTCCCGGCACAATGTCTCCAATACCACACTGAAGGGACATATGTCCGTCCTTAATTCATTAGCCAATTCTTTAGGTCGTTCAACCATGTGCCATTTTATATCATTTCCTTATCTCTTTATCTATTTATAGCAACATCCTTCAACCATATAACGAAACCGCCCTTGCCATGTTCCATGGTAACGACTTTAATGGTGATAATAAGTTTGAAAGATCTGAACTCGATTTTACTTTCTACGTCTATGACACTGAACCATGTAAGTATAAGACGTTTTATGTGGGTGAACATACTCATGTGGATCTACGGTGGGTAAATGGGTAAGACGCTGGCTCCTAGCCTAGAGATCGCGTGTTCGATCCTTGCATTGGCCGAGAAATGCCTGTTAGACTCTGTTTTGCAGAATCATGACTGCGCCGTATTCCTTATCGTAATTTTCCGCAAAAGAATTTCGTCGTCACGATTACGATTACGATTATTAATACGTATTCTTAATCGTAATCGAAATCGTAATCATATCGTTGCACAACCTGTCTACTGGTTGAACCACATGACATAACTGTAATTCCCACACAGCCGATCTGTTTTGCTGATACACCCTAGCCTCTAAGCCGAGGAGGCCATGACGTCCCCTCTCAGACCGCTCACTATCTCTGATTTTATATAAATTAAAGTTACAATTTCATATTTTCTAAGAACGTCAAAACATAATTATTTTTATGTCTTTTGCTCAGTAGGTTGTCAACTCACTATTATACGATCATAGGTATCATTCTCACACTTAAAAATCATTCACCCTGGAAATAATAACACAAGTACCCCCAATTACCTCCCTTGTTTTCATTTTCCCCACCATGGGATAGCTATCTTCAAACGTTTGAATTTGAAATTGAAAATAATATTTTTGCCAATTTCTCATTTGGCAATAGTGAATTATAGGATTAATAGGATTATTCTTTAACAAGGTAGGACTGTTTATACATAGCATTGATTTTAAGGCATTATTTTAATACATTTTAAAAATATAACTAAAACATATGAAATTGTAACTTATTGTATTTACAGTGGATGGAGTAATCAGTCGACTAGAATATACGTCATACATTAACAAAACAACCCCTGAGCTTTATAGATTATCTCATGAACTCTATGACATCTACGATATAGATAACGATAACAGACTGGAGAAACATGACTACGATGCCTTCTTTAAGCTGATGGATTATGATGGTAAGTTTAATTGGTAGTCAACTACTTCAAGTACTGGGGTTTCTAAATACCCATTTAAGAAACTGTAGGTAGGAGGTTTTCAGAGCCATTAACTGTGGAGATGACATAGTGGAATGATTAAAGGGAGATAACAAGCTTTTTTATATGGATTCAGACTAGTAATTTCTCCTCATTTAAATCCTTGGCGTTCCGTGACAAATTAATGACATTTTATGGAAATCTCAATCTTTATAATCACAAATAATCACAAATAACGCAACATATCGCAACATATATTTTGGTGTTACTGGCCTTGTTATTGAAACACTGCAACGAGTTAGATTTTTTTCAAAAATGCTTGGATTCTAGAGAATGCCCAAACATTAGATATTTCTAAAGGTGTATGTTTAGATTCCACTCTTGATATTACATTACAGAGGATGGCTTGGTAACAGAAGATGAATTTGTACACTACTGGACAATCGTAAGTAAATGTGTATCCTTTCATACACAACGAATTCAAATTATTGGTTTATTTCCGCCCGCCTTAAACATACATTATGACGTCACATTAATAATGACGTCAATGTATTAATGATATTAATATTAAACATACATTATGTAATAGCTAAATTTGCCTATTGCAGGTATTTCTTCAGGCCTGAAATGTTATCTAAGTTATTAATTAGACATTAATTAACTTATCCAGCCCATAATCAACTCTCGATGCCATCGCTAGCCTGCGATATTTAGCGGATTGGAATACATTTTTTGAAAAATAACTAAACGTAAAAATGGATAATCTATACTTTGTTTTTAGCGAACCGACTTTAGTAATGATAATCGAGGCTAGACTAAAATTCAAAAGCTAATATCTCGGTTCAGAGTGGAACAATCTCACTGAAATTTTCAGCACCTATTAACGTTATCTATTTTTTTTAACTATCATAGCGAGGACTGTCAACTCTTTATCTAATCTCCCTAACGCCCCTGTAACTATTATAGCAAGAACCGTCAGCTCTTTATCTGATCTCCCATAATTTCCCTTTAATGGGGGTTGGGACATAACATACAAAATATAAAATTAAATTTAAAACACCTGATCTTAAAGAAAGAAGTTCGTATGAGATGAAAGGTCATGTACTATTTTTTTTTGTTTAAAAACATATTTTATTGACAAATATCAAAAGGATTGAGCACAAGTTTCAAAAACTTAGAAAAGCCCTTTCCATACATACAAATGATAGACAAAATTTAATACAAACAAGATTGCGAAATAGTATATAGAATAATAAAAAATTTATAAGTAATATAAGTAAAGTCAGATGAATTATATCGCAAAGCTCTATATAAAATAAGTGAAGAGGTGATAAAGAGAATATAAAATTATATTTAAAACATTGAAAAATAAAGTTTAATAAATGGGATATAAATGAACTGATCCATGTATAAAATAATAATAATAAAAAAAGGGGGTGGGGGTGCGGGAAAAAAAAAAAAAAAAAAAAAAATGTTATCCACCAAAAAAAGCTATAGCTAATAATTTATTCTAAGATGTAACTACTAACAATAACTTTTATTTAAATCGTTTTGAAAGTTTGATATGTTTGTGAACTTCAAGGAAAAGGTTTGTATTCATCTCAATTGACAATTCTGAATTGCCGCACAATTGGATATCTATATTTATCACAGAATAATTTGACAATGTATTTAATAGTTCAGCACGAATTACATCATATAAGTGACATTGCAGGAAATAGTGTTCGGCATTTTCTATAAATTTGCCGCAAGAACATGTGGGATCATTCACAACGTTTATTTTATACAAATCATTTTGCAACGAACTACACCCATGCCGTATTCTAGTGTGAATAATATTTTCATGTCTATTACCTTTACAGTAGTAGATTGGCGCTTTATGTATTAAGGAACGTAATTTTTGTTTGTATAGATATTTGAAGGATTTAATGTTGGTTGATTGCTTTATGGGGTCCTCTAATAATTCCCAATCTCGAATTGTTGTGGGGAAGTACGAAGTACTATTATTGAAGTGCACGTAAAAGAACCATTGAAAGACGGAATTCAAAGTGGGTGAATACTCTGCTGTCCGAGAAAATCGCCCCAACGCATTGCACACGTAACCATGGAAATGACCTAAGTAATGTTTTGAGGGGGCACTAAACCCCATTCTGTTAATCCATGATACAAAGGGAAACAATCCATCAATGACTATATTTTTCAATACCGTGCCGGTTGAAACAAAATGATATTATATTATAGCTCTGAAAATCATGAAGCTACTTAACTGTACACAAGAAGTGAACAATAACATTTTACCTCCTTTGATTGGCATTTAGTAATTGAAAATATTAACACAAGGTACAATTTCATGGATACACAATTACTGAGTTTAATACTAAGCGACGTTTCGACGATAAATTACTGAGTTTCATACTAAGCGACGTTTCGACGCGAGTATCCTCGCCGAAACGTCGCTTAGTATTAAATTCAGTAAATGTGTAGCCATAAAATTGAACCTGGTGCTAATAGTATTTTACCAAACAAAAGTATGATTTTATTTATGATTTTGTTTTTCAGCTTTTGGAATCTCTCGGTCACTTGATTGATATTGGTGAAGCTAAATAATCTGTCATTTAAACTAATAAAACTAACAGAAAATTTAACTGAAATTAGGTCAGATATGTTGTGTATACTGTGAGAGAAGATGGAGGGTTGTGTGTGTGTGTGGGGGGGGGGGGTCTTCAAACGCAAGGACCTCCACTAATTGCAATGAAATGCACCGTTATATATTATGATGACGTAGATGTGTGATTGCAGTGAATCTAGGTCAGATATGTTGTGTATACTGTGTTGTTTGTTTATGGAGAGAAGATGGAGGGAGGTGTTGAGGCGGGGGGGGGGGGGGGCTTCAAACGCAACAAGGACCTCCACTAATTACAATGGAATGTACAGTTATATTAAGATGATGAAGATGTGTGATTGTCGTGAAAAGTGCTGCAATCACGCGTGGACACTGCGCATCGTCTCTTAAAGAATTTGTTGCTTTGATTCGACAGTTGATTCGTGCTTCACCTTGGCTAAGGGAAATAACCCCTTAAGGAACAGTCAGTAACTTACTACTCATTACGAATGTAATTCGAGATATTTACAGAAAAACCGTTTCCTGTCCCCTTCTATGCAAATTTGTGTTCATATCTTGCTCTAGAAGTAATGTACATTGTTTGAAGTTTGATTTTCTGGGTAATTTTAATGAATTTGGAAGGGGTAGGAACAAGGGGTAGATCTTCGTTTGGGGAATTGTCTCTGAAATAGAACACTTTCATTATAGCTCCATTCGCTCTCGTGGTAACAGGTTGAACGCGCCAAACGCCTTCTAAAATCTTTGATCAGATAACTGTGTTGTGTTTTGGTATTTGCCGATATAAAGATATCGTGGCCTGCCCACCTTTTCCTAAATTGAGAAAAATGGGTATGGAGTATTGCATCACTGAATTTTGAATCTCCATGAATTTTTACTAAATTTTCATAGCTGGGGAAGCTATCAATATAAGAAGCTAACAGAGTGTATGGTGTTTCCAAATGTAGTGGCATTCAGTTTGGGCTAACTGAAATACGATAAATGGAGATAGGACTTTGTGGTTTTTGAATTCGTCAAGCACAAAGTTATATCTAGGTATCAAGTAAAATATCATAATTACGCCATTTTCGGGTCTAAAAGAGGCGTTTTCATAAATCGCATGAAATTCTGATAAATATCACGACTTTTGGGGACGAAAACAACGTTTATGACCTCTTTTCATGCCAGTTTCCAGAAATTCCCAAAGAAGACGGGAGTACACGGGTGAATTGACAATCAGTCACCTATTAGCGGTACTGGATACTATACGTATTGCCTTTATAGTTCTAGAATTTTCGACCTCTGAACGTCTAATGGAAAAAACGTGTGTGGAAAACTCTCGACGTCCGGCACCGAGAGGGTTAACGTTTCTACTAGGCCTAAATCCTTCTTGGCTATAGATAATGTCTACTATCTATGATTTAAAAATCTACATGAACCAGCTGAAAGCCTTTGATTGTATATTATAATTAGAGATAGACAATACATAAAGCATGCTGACAATGTAAATTAGGCCTTGGTGTCAACCAGTTCCATCCCCATTATTATACACTGACCTGTGTAATTTTATATGTACATACAATATATGTTTGAATGAGAATTAACAAATACTATCTCAAACGACCCCTTAAAACCAATTACAAATAGAGTTTCAACAACAAAATTTAGCCGTTATATTTAGGATTTTATTATCGGACAATAATCTAAGCGTCTTACGATAAATTTTCTGCCTTGGAAATCCAGCCACGTGTACATACTGGCGTGCACGTAAAGGGAGAGAGAGAGAGAGAGAGAGAGAGAGAGAAATGGGGTTTATCGTTCACTCGAAACAAACCAGGTCATTTCGGGACTAACATATGGTTCAATTTTATTTCCATAATTCGCTATCGCGTAGGGGTCTTTATTAGTGGGAGGAAACCGGAGGACCCGGAGAAAACCCACGAAGTTAGACAGGCGACCCTACTCCTTGTCACGTACAACCGGGGATTCGAAACCACGCCAGTTGACTCAATGACAGACTTTATGATACAGCACGCACGTGCTAACCATTCAGCCATCCAACCCCACTGCACGTAAAGGAACCCCGATATAATATACTATTCAAAAAAAGTAGGGGATATTTGATTTTTAAGTGTTATTAAAGTCACCTAATGAAACTGACGAAGAAACAAATGACAAAATGAAATGAAGTTCACATTCATCGATTTATTCCAAATGATCGTTAGACTAAGTAAGGCACAGACTGACCATTATAAGGGTAAAATGATACCCGGGGTCAAACAGCAAAGTTACCACAGCATCACAACCAAGTCAGTAACGGGTAAATCCTCCTCTGTTTGCCAAACAAGCATTGATCCGACGTGGCATACTCCTAATGAGACGTCTAAGGTCATTTTGGTCCAGATTGTCCTGTTGCAACGCAGCAGCAAGTTCTTGGACATTGGCAGGACGTTGTTGACGTTGACGTAACCTCTGTCCAAGCATGTCCCAGACATGCTCGATGGGGGAGAGGTCGGGACTCAGTGCTGGCCAAGGTAATGTGGTGATGTTCTGTTGTTGGAGGTAACCTGTAACGATCCTGGCCCTGTGACATCTTGCGTTGTCATCCTGGAAGATGACGTCGTGCGAACGGCACAACATGGACTGCCAAGATGTTGTCCCGGTAGTACTGGCCTGTAACACGCCCTGCAACAACATGTAAAGCCGTTCTTCCAGCAACAGTGATGCCTCCCCACACCATTACAGAACCACCCCCAAATCGATCATGTCTGATGACGTTAACGTCTTGGAAGCGCTCGTTTCGACGACGCCACACCCTCCTACGTCTGTCCAAAAATTCAACAGTGAACCTTGACTCATCTGAAAACATCACATTGCTCCAGCGTCGATTATCCCAGTGTTGACGATCCCTACACCAACGACGTCTTGCCTGAATGTGATGATCTCTCAAACAAGGGATCACGCGAGGACGTCGGGCGCGAAGGTGACCCCTATGCAGTCGATTCCGAATCGTCTGGCCACTCACTCTCACACCAGTGTCTGTTTGAAGACGAGCGCTGATCTGATTTGCTGTGATGACACGATTTCTCAAGGCCAAGGTACGGATAAATCGATCCTGGGCTTGAGTTGTCGCCCTTGGTCGACCTGAGCGTGGTCTGTCCTGTACAGATTGTGTATCACGGTATCTGGACCATAGCCTGCTTATGACAGACTGAGAAACATTCATCGTCCGCGCCACAACCGCCTGTGTTGTGCCGATCTGTAGCATGCCAAGGGCACGTAACCTTTCATTTTGGGTAAGCCGACGCATATCAAAATTTGTTTTCTGGTCACTAAAACAATTAAACTGATGTTTCCACCCTGGAATTCAATGCCACAATGACTGTAACATTCAACGTCAGAGTCGTGCAAATCTTGGGTTGGACCCCCATGATGATCCCAAGCATCACCTGCATTCCATGCGGTAGCTATTGGTGCGTTTGGGCGTCACATGTAACTGGAAATGTTTCTTCTGTTAGGTTCTATAGTGACTTTTTTCGTAGTCATTTTCATATTTTAGTATTATGCCCCCAAAATCAAATATCCCCTACTTTTTTTGAATAGTATAGTAAGGCCCAGAGCCACTGTCTGGGTAAAATTTCCCTCACAGCAGTTGACATGAGCCCGTCTTCATTAGTGTGACAAAGTGCTTAATTTTCTATTTTATAAAATACGAACTATTATTTAGGTGCAGTAAACGTATTGACCCCAGTTGGTTTTGATAATAAACGACATCGGCTTTTCAATGATACACTTTGTTCTAAACACGTACACACTAATGTAAATAAATCCTAATAAGTACAAAACTGATCTCGGTTTCATTAAGATAGTGTTACATTGGCCCAGCAGTAGCAGAGCAGTAGGACGTTAAACTCCATTTCAGTTCCCCAATAAAATTATGATCATTGCGTTCTTAGGTCTCAGCGAATCAAATGGCTTATCTCTGCTTATTCTAAACAGAAAATGCTCATCACCACACGCAGTCAGTCAAGGCATTTACAAAACGAATACCTACTCAACTATTGGAAACAGATGCATCATGTTCCAAAACGTGTGAGGCGTAAACTTGGCCATCGCTGGACACAATCAAAACACGAATGAATATCTGAACAATGTTTGAACATACTACCTCAAATATAAGTAGAGCTATTGTGTCTCAAATCATTGATCAATCAAATTGCTTATATCTGCTTAAGCAGACAATTACGCAACAAAGTCAAGACATTCACCAGATATGACGGGACACATAGACGGGAGAACCTATATTAAACATACATTATGCAAGAGCTAAATCTGCCAATTGCAGGTCTTTCTTGAGGCCTGGAATGTTATCTAAATTATCAATTAGACTTTAATTAACTTATCTAAATCATAATCAACTCTCTATGTCATCGCTAGCCTGCGATATTTACTGGATTATAATCCGATCTTCTGCTCAACGCTCATTCATAATTAAATAAAAAAAATAGATAATCGAAACTGTGTTTTTTTTTTATCGTACTGACTTTTATAATGATGATCGAGGCTAGGTCCAAAATTCAATCGCTACATTCTCGGTTCAGAATGGATCAATTTGACTGAAATTTTCAGCAAATTCCCTTTACATTATCTAGTTTTTAACTATTATAGAGAGAACTGCCAGCTCTTTATTTAATCTCCCATAATGTATCTTTAATAGTCCCCTACTTTTCCTTAGGCGCACTAAGGAAACAAGCACGTGTTGACAAAGTAAATAGTTTAATTGAACGAATGTTTCCCCAGAAATAGAGTTGGTTCTTAAACTCATAAAGGTATATTTTTCCAGGAAATAATATTTTGTTAATTCTCCTTAGACATCATTTTGTTTATTTTCTAAGAATGCTGCATAAGGTCAATATCATTCACCAAAACATTGATTTTATTTAATATCATATCCCCCTAATTATTGATTATCTACCTATTTGGGTCATATTATTACGAGCGTTCTTCAAACTCCATAGAAGCCATTAAAAGGAGACACAGTGGGTTATTGAATCAGGCGCTGGTTCATTTACCACATGAGGTCCTTGGTTCACTCACGGTATTCGCTAATGCTAGGTATCAGGACTTATCATATATTGTGATCAGTCGTATCGTATAGCAATCGTGTTGATCGTATTGAAACGTATCCGAACGTATCTGCACGTACCACATCGCGGAGTCAATAGGGGCAAGCCTATCGTAACACACGACAGTCGTAGCAATCGTGTTGGTCGTATCGAAACGTATCTGCACGTAGCAGATCGTGAACTCATTAGGGACAATCGTGTTGGTCGTATTGAAACGTATCCGAACGTATTTGCACGTAGCAGATCGTGAACTCATTAGGGACAATCGTGTTGGTCGTATTGAAACGTATCCGAACGTATCTGCACGTAGTAGATCGTGAACTCATTAGGGACAATACTATCGTAACGCATCGCACGACAGTTGGAGTCTGGCACAAGAAAGTCTCTCATGATTTTTCAGTGTGCTTTTCCATTTTCATTGATGAAGGGCAGGGGGGGGGGGGCATGCCAATCAGAAAAAGAGGGCTAGTCGTTCGGATGAGGCCAGTTCCCGTGGACGTGAAAGAACAATTCAAATTCGACGAAGAGTAGATACACAGCATGGCGTATGCCGTTCTTCATTTATTCCGGTTGGTTCAGATAAATATTCCTTCAAACCCTATTTGATTTCATTTCAACAGACTTCAAAAGGAAATGAAATGAAATGAAATGAAATGGGGCTTAACGTCCTACTGTTCTGCTCCTATGCTGGGCTAATGAAGACGGGCATACGCCATACAGTGTGCTATGAGGGAAATTTTGTCCGGGCAGCGGCACTATCGCCTACTCTTACATCGAATTCCAACTGCCAAGGGATCTTTTACGTGCATTCCAATGTATACACGGGACCTCGGTTTTTCGTCTCATCCGAAGGACTAGACAGCTATCCTTGTCAGGCCCTCCGTCCTGCATCACTGATAAGGGAGAACCACGCCGGAAAATCAGGATGAACTTTCTCGGTCAATGCAGGGATCGAATACCCGACCTCCAGGCTAGCGAGCTAGCGTCTTACCCACTTAGCCACGTGATCCCCGACTTCAAAAGGACAATGCGTGCCATGTTTTATTGTTTAAAATGACAGTGGTAATTATTATGCCGGAAGTAAATCTTTCCTTGTTCAACGTGACTTAACGCAAATACCCGGATGTCAAGAGAATATTTCAATAAGAGAACTCTGTCACGATGAGATGTCGGATTTTCCTTCTTCTCATTTTAACGACATTCATCCATTGTTTTGGTGAGTAAAAACAATTATTTATAATTTTTCATTTTCTATATCTAATAAGCTTTAGGCTACGAATTTTATATAATCAGTGGGTGTTCGTGTTATTTCAATCAGTGGGTGATTTAAACATAAATTATGTAAGATTTAGATAAAGAGCTACCGATTCTTGACTAATAGTTCAAAAATAGATAATGGAAAAGGAATAATTTGAAAATTTCATTCAAATTACCCTATTGCTAGCGAAGATATTAGCCTTTGAAGGTTTGACAAGAAGTGTGCAATAATTTCAACCACCGTACTCGTTGTTCGAAGCTATGTCTCGCTCGTCCATTTTAAGCGTAAATCAAAATATGGCTGAACTGTTCTAATCTATTTAATATCGGAGAAATCCGATGCTATCGAGAGCTGGTTATGGCCTGGATAAGTTAATTAATTTCAGGCCTAAAGAAAGATCTGTAAATAGGCAGATTTAGCTCTTGCATAATGTAGGTTTAAAAAAGATCAAAAGCAATTCAAGATGGTCGATAGTCTTGTAACAATCGTTAGAAAAGGAGAAAAAATCCATTAAATTGATGTTTGCTTTCAGTTCATACAAATTGATAATTAATCACAAATGACTTGTATAACCAGGCAAAGTATATAGTACTTTGCACTTTTATAATAGCTTTGAATGATTACAATAAGTGGGTAAAGGTGATTTCTTTATTTTCGTTTCGTTTTAAAGGGACAATAACACTCTTGCTGGCTTGACAGCTCCAGAAAATAAAAAAAAATAGCCTTATTCTAAGTACTAGATGTGTTTGTGTCCTATCTGTTGTGTAAATTATCCATTAAATCCTATTTTACTTGTCCAGAGGGTTCAAAAATATTTTTAAATCCAAGTCACATTTGAAAAGCTTTACGTCAGGCTTTTCAAATCATTTAGTTGAATTTTTCCAATTTCTTAAATTAGGTGTGTTAAGATGAAATTTGTATCATCAATTAATTGGAATATTGTAAAATAGTGCAATTTGTTGACAAGAATAAAGATTGGGACCTATTATTCAGTTACAACAAGAGTGGCATTGAGCCTTTAATGTTATAGCCATGGTGTTACAAAATTACTTTGTTGCGCTGAACAGTAGAACGTTACACCCCATATCATTTCATTTTATTTCTTGTTGCGCCGATTTTCTTGAGGAGTTTATCGTAGAAATTTTATTTCTGTTATTGGTATAGGTTATTGTGAATGAGAAATTTTCAGAGAACATGAGGCGTGGTTTCGATTTCCCAGGTGTACATGACAAGGGGTAGGGCCGCCTTTTCAACCTCGTGGGTCTTCTCCGGGTTCTCAGGTTTTCTGTCACTGCTAAAGACCCCTACGCGCAAGCGAATTATTGGTATAAAATTGAATCATGTGTTAGTCCCGAAATGACCTATTCTGTGTCGAGTGGACGTTAACCCCACCCCCTCTCTCTCTCTCTCTCTCTCTACTAATGGAGTTTTTTAATATCAGTTACACATATCTACTTCAAACAGCATTATCCGATTCATTAAAGCTGCAATGTCATGTAGTTATATTTTTAAAATTTATTAAAATAAAGCCCTATAATAGACGGTATCCATAAACCGTCCTACCTTGTTAAAGAATAATCCTATTAATCCTATAAGTCACTATTGCCAGCTGAGAAATTGGCAAAAATATCATTTTCAACTTCAAATTCCAACGTTTGAAGGTAGCTAATGCATGGAGGCAATAGGAAAACAAGGGAGGTAATTGTGTTATTATTTCCTGTGTCAATGATTTTTAAGGGTGGGAAATAATGCCCATGATCGTATAATAGTGAGTTGATAACCTATTGAGCAAAAGACATAGAAATAATCATGTTTTGACTTTCTTAGAAAATATGAAATTATCGCTTTAAGTTACTTGTTAAAGGCCGTGTGCCTTGGACAACAGGTTTGAGTTAAATCGGACGCATCGAAAAGTCACTGATCTTGATAAATTTCACTATTTATTATTTTATTCTGTCTGCTACATTTATCGATATAACGTCGAAAAATCTAACTAGCAAAACATTGACACCGCTTTGTTCTAGGCCCCCCCCACCCCTTTAACCCTATACATGCATGCATCTAAATGAGCCGATAAGCACAAAGCTTCTGATTATATAAAACTATAGATTATCCCGCCCCCCCCCTCCACTCTCCCCACCACACACACCAATTTATCGCAACCCACGCGCTATTGCCACCTTGGACCCCCAAAGCTCAAATTCCTTGACACCTCCTTCTTCATTTCGAGGGGGGGTTAGATGGCTGAATGGTTAGCACGTGCGCGCTGTATCATAAAGCCTGTCGTGATTTTAAGTTAGGAGTGGGGGTTGGGTGGTCAAATGGTTAGCACACGCGCGCGGTATCATAAGACCTGTCATTGAGTCTACTGGCGTGGTTTCGAATCCCCGGTTGTACGTGACAAGGAGTAGGGTCGCCTGTCCAACCTCGTGGGTTTTCTCCGGGTCCTCCACTGCTAAAGACCCCTACGCGCAAGCGAATTATTGAAATAAAATTAAACCATATGTTAGTCCCGAAATGACCTAGTTTGTGTCGAGTGGACGTTAAACCCCATTTCTCTCTCTCTCTCTCTCTCTCTCTTCATTTCAATCGCATACAGGAACAGAAATACATACACCCTAATAAGTTTTGACACGTTGATTAAAGGTGCATTAGTAGATAATGCAAAATAAATATTTTGAAACTTTCACCCAAATTACTTTATTTTGGGCGAAGTTATCAATAGTTGTAGTTTTGACAAGATGTGTGAACTGATCGTAACCACTGTACTGGTCATTCGAGTCTTATGCAAGAGCTTAATCTGCCTATTGCAGGTCTTTCTTTTGGCTGAAATGTTATATAAACTATTAATTAGACATTTATTGGCATGACAAGACCATAATCAACTTTCGATGCCATCTGATTTTTTTTTATTAGATTTGAATCCGCCCTGTCGTTAAACGGCTGTAATGATTAACAGTAAAACTGGATAATCGAGAATTTGTGTATTCTTATTATAGCAACAGTAACAATGACGATTGAGGCTACAATGTTTTTAAAATAGGTATTTCTCGACTCAGAGTGAAGTAATCTATTTTTAAATTATTTGAACTGCCAGCTCTTTATACTTTCTTCCATAATGCCTCTTTAAGCGCTTCACCCGAACAATTTCCGTGTGAATTCACACGACAAGCTAATGACGAGCTCAAATGAATCATTAGGGATAAAACAGCAAAGATAGTAGATGACAATAAACGGATTCTAATCATTCGGGTAGGACGAAAAAACAGCGGCCCCGTGTATATATTGACATGAACTATAAAAGAACTCTTGAGAGTTGGAATTCGTAATAGGTGTAGGCCGTAAGGCCGCTGTCCGAGCGAAATTTCCCCATAGCACTCGGCAAACCTCGGCAGATTCCAGTACCCTACATCTAGCCTCGGCTGTATTACGAAGTCCGCCATTGGAACTACTTTCAAGTTCCAGGATTACCAAGGGCGTTGCCCATGACGACGCCTTTGAAGAATGTTTTATCATACAAATATTTCAAAGTCTGAAGTTGTTTTTCTTTCAAGGACAACTTTGCACTGAAAATTCTACACACGCTTCGAACAACGCAATTTTGATAACTTCTTTTTAAAAGCGGCAAGATTTCCTAATAACTAAACCGGTGCCGCATCGCAATTGTATAAGCGAAGGTACATATCACTTAACGTCATACAGCCGAGGCTAGATGTAGAGTAACGGAATCTACCGAGGTTTGCCGAGTGTCCCCATAGCACAATGCATGAGGTATGCCCGAGTTGATTAACTAGCCAGGTTATTGCAAAAATTTAGACGCTAAACCCCATTTCATGTCTTACATGGCTAATTACACTGACAAAACAGCAGGCCCGTAACTAGGGGGAGGGGGCGCAGGGGTGGGTGGGGTGAAGCTCCCCCTGAAAAAAGTTTTGCCCCCCCCCCCCTGAATAAATTGTCGACCATAAAAAAAGTAGATATACATTGTCCGTCAATTTTACAGCATCCCTAAGAACACGTCCCCCCCCTGGTTGCCCTGAGCTAGTTACGGCCCTGCCAAACACCAAACAGTCGCATGGACTTGTAATTTTAAATTAATATATTTACAGGAAATGACGGATTAATCAGTCGCTGCCTGTTTAAACGCAGGGAACACATTTACTTCAGTTGTCCGAAAGGTCATGTGATCTATCGTCCAATGATATTTCTTGGTAAAGGCAACCAATCAACTTGCAGCTATGAAGATGGGGACTGCATCGGCCAATCCCTGAGTATGTTGAAGCAAAACAACAAATGCTATTGGAGAGAATCTTGTTCTGTTGGTTGGAGAAATGGGCAGGTAATCCTTAAAACAGACGACAAAAGATGTACTGGAGAGACGGCGAACTATGTGGCCTACTCAAATCCCCTGTGTATTAAAGAAGGTAAAATTAAATTGAATATTTACAAACCAAATAGAAAGTTGTGGCGTGAACTACGTAAATTGTTATTATCCCCTGGCTATCTGGGGGTCAGGTTGGCTAAGTGGTTAAGACGCTGGCCTGGGGGTCGTGTGTTCTATCCCTGCATTGGCCGAGGAAAGTTCATCCAGATTTTCCGACGTGGTTCCCCCTTTCTCAGTGATGCAGGACGAAGGACAGCTGTCTAGTCGTTCGGATGGGACGAAAAAAACGAGATCCCTTGTACACATTGACGTACGCGTAATAGATCCCTTGACAGTTGGAATTCGATATAAGAGTAGGCCGTAGTGCCACTGTCCGGGCATAATTTCCCTCATAGCACACTGTATGGCGTATGCCTGTCTTCATTTCATTGTGAGGATTTTTCGAAGAACCTCGTAGACACATATAATGCCTGGTAGATAGATTTGTGATCATATTTCTCCAACAAGGGAAATACCCGCCGCAGTGAGGCAACGAAGTGTATCTATTCTCGACTCTTATAAACTACGTACCATATGAAAAAGGGTGACTTTCAAAGTTCGGGACTGAGAAGTTATGTGAAGCATAACCCGAAGTCCTTTCATGGTCTCATTAGCGCACACGTACAATCACGTCTGCTAGTCACGTTTTGCTGTTCCCGACCTCGCATTACACTAATCGTTCGGGATTTTTTTTTTTAACGTTTATTACTACTTACGGAAACGTAACTTCTATAGGACAAGCAGATAGGTAGTATAACCTGCGTCCTTCACATGTTCCCGTGGAACATCATGATAGAAGATTTTGGTGAGCTGAATGGTATAAACAGGGCTTAAAACAAAACCACAGCCATTACATCCTGCAAGTTGACCTCAAATAAGTGCTAAAATGAGATGGTCCTAAAACCAGGTTATTATGACTACGAAGATAAAATGCTAAATGCAGACAGATAGCACCGGATATTCGACACAGATCTCAGCTAATGACCTTGTGCTATTTACCCAATCTAGAAACAGAACCAGCTTATAATAAACATAAACAGACACCCATCATCGTTTTGTATACAAAAAATAAGCTCATGTTGCGTTATGTATAAATTGATAGTTTTTACACAGAGATAAGCACGTTAAATTACGACTAGGCCGTTTTACATGAAAGATTAGCAACCTCTTAAAGATATCTATCTATTAAAGAGAATTTGCACTTCGGTCGCTGATTAGAAATAAATTTTCATATGGCGTAATTTGAATATACGGTTTACACCAAGGGTGGGGGGTGGATGACCGAATGGTTAGTGCGTGCGCACTGTATCATAAGGTCTGTCATTGGGTCAACTGGCGGGGTTTCGAATCGCCGATGGTACGTGACAATGAGTAGGCTCGCCCGTACAACCTCGTGGGTTTTCTACGGGTCCCTCGGTTTCCTCCCACTAAGCGAATTATTGAAATATAATTGAACCATATGTTAATTAGTCCCTAAATGACTAACGCCAATTAACCCAATGACAGACCTTATGAAACAACGCGCGCTAACCTTTATCCCCCCCCCCTCTCAATATGAATGCAATATGCTCCACATTTGTGGCTCGGTGCGTAAAACATTGGTTCACAGACAATTGGGGCCGGGCCCTGGTTCCTCTATATTTTTTCAGCCTAGTTTCCGATTTGCCAGTATAGCAGAGCGGGTGGTTTGAAAAGTAAAAGCAAAAGAACGATACGATACCAAAACCAGAGCACGTTAAAGACCCCCTGACAGTTAGAAATCGTATGTCCGACTGCATTATCTCATTTGATTTCATTGCACAGAAGTTTACCATACCGTACCTTTAAGTTTATGTAAATAAACAGCGAGGTGTATGTAAATAAAATTATCCTCCTATTTTCAGCGATAAGCTATGATAAGCTAGGTAAATCGTGACGACCTAATTTATAATATGGTTAATGTTTAAATTTTATCTATCTCAGATTATTTTCTATCGCTTTATCTTCCTTGTTGCACAACGTCCTCATTGACCATTTGGTCATCCAACACCCCGGATTGTTTATAGTTTAAAGTAGGTTATATGATAAACTATTTAACGTTCTACCTGTCTGCACCAACCCGGTGGGGGGGGGGGAGACGGTGGCTAGGTGAGTAAGGCGCTGGTTCACTAGCCTGGAGATCACGGGGTCGATTCCGGTGTTGGCCGAGAAAGTTCATTGAGATTTTTCGGCGGGGTTTCCCCTTGTCAGTGATGCAGGGCTTGACAAGGATAGCTGCCTAGTCGTTAGGATGGGACGAAAAAACGAGGCCCCGGGACTGACCCCAGTCCCTCCTGTTTAGTGAGTCAGTGCCACATTAACAAACAGATCAACCTTGTATACATTCAAGTTATTTTTGTAATGACACATTATTGTTTATACATTTTACAGAGCACCTGTTTAGTATTTGTGACGCAAGCGAAAAGGAAATTGACGTCATAGAGGGCGTAATAAGAAGTCACGCAGAATATCCGTGGTCGTATGGGTCTGCAAAGCAGAAATGCACCAAATATATTGCTGTGAATCAAGGTTACACATTGAAATTAATGATAGATGATGTTGAAACCCAAGACGGAGACTCTCTTGTCATACGAGACATAGCTAATGATGTAACGTATAACGTCACTACAGCCTTGAGTAAAACCCTGACTGTTATTAGCGGATTGGTTGAAATAAATTTCATTTCGTCACCTGGGGCGAAAATAGGTCGTGGTTTTGTGATCAGATTTCAAAGTAAGTACAGCTTAACATTTTTAAGCCGTGTGAATTCTCATTAATTGAAAGTGTTATGGGGTGTTCCAGGGAGAGTCAACATATGTTAATTGAGATTTGCCTGAAAGAAAATGCTTTAGGGGAATTACTGTTCTGGCCGTCGACCCGGGGGTTAATTCGACTAACTCCTCAACATATGAGATGGTAATTAGGAAGAATATGAGATGAGATGGTCATTAGGAAGGATGGTATTAAACATTGTATCGTAGGACCATAAAAATACAGGTTTACCAACCGAAATTGTAATCCGAAGCTGTTTAGAAACTGACATATATGTTCTTAAATAACGGAAATCTTGAAGATCTAATATGTGTAGGATAAAGCACGAGACGGGGGTTATGCTGGGGAAAGAAAGACTGAAGAAAATAACCCAAGAAAAAGAAAACCCGAGGTTGGCAGGCCGATTTTCTTCTGTCGACAGTTTTTTCCAAAGTCTTTCTTCCCCAGCATTACCGAAGTCGAGGACTTTTATCTTGCTTATAAACCGTCTATGTTTACATGTACGCAAGATGAGAATATCCCAGAATTCGCATAAGAAGAACCTTGTAACATGTTTTCTTATGGGGAAAAAACCTACTCTGGATGAATAACCCGTTACAGGTTTGACGAAAAATTTGCAGAAGAATAACCCCAAATTCCCCGGTATATATCCAAAGCCGCCCTCGACTTTCAAAGCGCAAGTTATTCCGGGCATAGAATATACCCCAAAGATCAAAGAGATTTACCGTTATAATAAATTTGGAGAAAGTGGTGTCTATCAAATATGGCATGCTAAGACCATGGGTAGCGTCTGCAAAAAGACGTCGCCTTTGTCCAGACCTCCTGACTAGTTTTGTGCAAAACAGTAAGATTGGATGAGGGCCGTAACACAGAGCTCACGATTGACATAATCAGGATAGAAATGATATGGGGTTTAACATCCTACTGTTCTGCTCCGATTGGACCAATGAAGAGTAAATGAGTATAGAAGGTCATGTTTATATTATGTATTTCTAGAGGAAAGAATTAGACTATCAACAGATATTGTTAACAGAACATACTCAGATACTCCCCAAGGTAAGTAAACCCAACACTTTAACATAATATAGGGGGTTGGATGGCCGAATGGTTAGCGCGTTCGTGCTGTATTATAAGGTCTGTCATTGAGTCAACTGGCGTGGTTCCGATTTCCCTGTTGTACGTGACAAGGAGTAGGGTTGCCTGTTCAACCTCGTGGGTTTTCACCGTGTCCCCAGCTTTCCTCCCACGGCTAAAGACCCCTACGCGCAAGCGAATCATTGAAATACAATTGAACCATATGTTAGTCTCGAAATGACCTAGTTTGTGTCGAGTGGACGTTATCCCCCACCCCTCTCTACAGTTTAGTAGGGTGAACAACTTGAACTCTACAAGGGGAGCTTTTGTCTCGGATCCTCTTGCGTTCATGTCCACTCGAATTTAACCAAGCCAACATAGACGTGAAAGCCTGCTTGTATAAAGATTGATTTCTTGTAAAAATCATTTTCCTGAAAATGGTCATTAAAGGAGCTAAACCTCAAACTCAATATTTTATATAATATTCGAAATTAAAAACACTAATTCAATATTTATCCATTTTATTCAATATTGGCGATGTTATATTGTAGGGGAAAATTGAGATCCTTATATCCAATATTTAAGAGTCAGTGAACAGTTGGTTATGAGTCGTGTATTCTATGGTTTCGGATGCTATTTGTAACGGACAATGAAAACATATCCTACAAGACAATGTGAAAGTAATTAAACATACATTATGCAAGAGCTAAAGCTGTCTATTGCAGGCCTTTCTTTAGACCTGAAATGTTATCTAAATTATTAATTAGACATTAATTAACCTATTCAGACCATAATCAACTCTAGATGGCAGCGCTAGCCTGCGAACTATAGTGGATTGTAAGCCGATTTACTGCACAACTTTCCTTCTCGATTAAATGGATAATCGAGACTATGCTGTTTATCAAACTGACTTTAGTAATGATGACCGAGGCTTTGGGGAATTTCAGTCGCTTGGTTCTCGGTTCATTGTGGATCAATTTGAATGAAATTTTCAGCAAATTGCCTTTACATTATTTAGTTTTTAACTATTATAGTTAGAACTGCCAACTCGTTATGGAATCTCCCATAATGTATCTTTAATAATGGCTGATTCACAAACGACAAAATAATAATACTAACAAACGTGTAGAATGGACCAAGCAAGAGTAAAGAACTGTCGTTAAATTTCGACTGTTCGCGCGTTTCACCAAACATAATTGATTAGAATTTACAACAATTTTTAAAACAATTGAATATAAATCACTTTATATACATTTATATTACATTAATATTTGCTTTTGGACTAATTTTCGGCTGTTTTAAAGATACATTATGGGAGATTAGATAACGAGCTATAATAGTTAAAAACTAGATAATGTAAAGGAAATTTGCTGATAATTTTAGGCAAATTGATCCACCCTGAACCGAGAATTTAGCGATTGAATTTTGGGCAAAGCCTCGATCATCATAACTAAAATCGGTACGATAAAAAACATAGTCTCTATTATACATTAAAATCAGAAGCAGCATACCTGGTTCTAATCCAGAAAACTGGCAGATTTAGCTCTTGCAATGTATGTTTAAGGTTGCAAAGAATAGTCATACGCCATTTAATTTCATTTGATGTATTAAAGTCGCCTTTTCATCTTAATTACAGTTTTTGCCAGTATTGAAGAATGTATTAACAGCAAAAACGACCGCATTCGATTGACCTGTCCATTAAATCACGTCATATACAAACCGGAAGTTTCCGTGGGTGCCAGTAACAACAACCTGTGTTACCATAGAGACGGTGACTGCACAGGACTGATTCACACCTTACTTGCTCAGAGAAATGGCTGCTATTGGTTAAATTCTTGTAACCTGTCATGGCAAGAGGGAATTCCAATAACCATGACATCAGTAGAAAGATGTTTTATTTTGATGCCGAGTTATACCATGATGAGCTACTTTCAGTGTGTTCCAAAGGGTAATTCTGTTATAATTATAATCCAAAAATGTCTCAAACTCGATCTTGTGGGGTGGGGGGGGGGGTGCAAGAGGTGCGCCGATTTTTTTCCAGAACCAGCTGTCCCTCTTGCCCACCCCCAATAGCTACGGACCTCTCATGGACCATATGAAGCTATATGCATTTGTACATAAATAAATCTCTGAAGCGCCTCAGTGGGCCCCTTTGTGGGCAGAGAAAGTTCAAGGTCTGTCCCCCTCGTCAGTAATGGAGGATAGACGACCGAATAAGAAAGGGCATACGGTCGTTTGAATGGAATGATAAACTCGGATGTACACGTAAAAGAACGTCAGTAATGTTTCCAAGATCAGTATCCGCGGAAACACCTCTTCCCGAGCGCATTTCCTCTCATAAGATACCGCATCAGTTATGTCTACTTTTATTAGCCCGTTGGATTCAGGAAAATAGACACTACACCCCACTGCATTTCTTTTGAAGCGGAAATTGAAAAGATTTGATAATTTCATTGATTTACCGGGAATTTCCAATAAACAGCACAATTTTCATTGCATTCCAAATATGGCAAATATTATCTGTATTTACATATCCATATCTCTATTTTTACTAAATTAAGGTTACGTGTACAACATATGTGACGACAACCATTGGGAAATCAAAGAAACTAATGGTCTTATTAAAAGTCACGACAGCTTTCCTTGGAATTACCCAGCAGTCACTAAAACTTGCAGGAAACGGTTACGTGTCAATAAGAAATATGGTGTACGCATTTTCGCTGATGACTTTGACCTTGACCTTGACACTTCAAAAGAAAGGGTTAATATATGGTACGTTTCACCCAATGGACATCGAGTAAAGAGAAAGAAACTTCGTGGAAACGACACAATAGATTTCATAACTCTAGACGGCTGTATTGATATAGAATTTAAAACATCGGAACATTCAAAAACTGGACGTGGTTTTGTTTTTAAATTTGAACGTAAGTTAGTTATCTTTATGTGGTGTTTTTGTGTCGTTTATAGTATTGTAAACCCAGCTTCACAGACGATATTAAATTAACGTCTTACTATTCAGTTCCGACTGGGCTAATGAAGACGGGCTTACGCCATACATGAGGGAAATTTTGCCCGGTCAGCGGCAATGTGGCCTACTCTTATATCGAATTCAAACTGCCCGGTCAGCGGCACTGTGGCCTACTCTTATATCGAATTCAAACTGCCCGGTCAGCGGCACTGTGGCCTACTCTTATATCGAATTCAAACTGTCTCATCCGAATGGCTAGTCAGCTGTCCTTGTCAGGCCCTCCGTCCTGCAGCACTGACAAATGGAAACCACGTCGGAAAATCCAGATGAACTTTCTCTGCCAATGCAGAACCCCCAAGATAGCCAGCCAGCGTCTTAACTACCGTGGCCCCCAGCTTGAAAGACAACCAAGCTTAAATGGAATTAAGGGGTTATATTATGAGGCTATAGCTTAATGCCGCTGATCATCATTTGGGGGATTTTGCAAGACCTTGCAAACTACTATATTATAACACTTGAATATCTTAAATGGCGGGTTAGGTGACCGAACGGTTAGCGCGTGCGCGTTGTATCATGAGGTCTGGCGTGGTTTGGATTCCCAGGTTGTACGTGGCAAAGAGTAGGGTCGCCTGTCCAGCCTTGTGGGGTTTTTTTTTCGGGTCCCGAAATGACCTAGTTTGTGTCGAGTGGACGTTAAACCCCATATCTTTTTTTTCTCTCTCTCTCTCTCTCCGGGTAATTTAGAATAACTCCCGACTAGATTAATTAATGAAAATCTGAACACCAGTCTATTCAGATTAATTAAGAAAACACCAGTATCTTGGCAATGAATTACAATTAGCCCCAAACGCATGCGTGTATCTTGATGACGAGTTGTGTATTGAAATGAAAATGACAAATTCTCTTTCAGTTGCTGTAACCAATCAAACTGAGAATGATGTCATCGTGGATGAAGTTGGAACGTGTGGTGGGAAATCTACATATTTCCCCAAAAGACCAAAGAGGAATGGACTTAAACATAAAGTAAAGAAAGGTAAATAGAACGGAGAACACTAGATCGGATATGACGTCATATGCGCATATGACGTCACATGTGGATTGTGGGTGAGGATTTGGTTAGGCTTTGTCCAGCGTTAGGGTTAGGGTTAGCGCTAGCACTGTTTTACATCAAGAGACTTTGACGAAATCTGCAGGTCATAACCCCCCCCCCCCCGCAATCCACATGTGACGTCATATGTGCTAAAATGTGCAAGAACGTCTCCAATCAAGCGTTATTCATCAAACAAACGATACTTCCGGTTATATATAAGGATTTAGGCTAGTAATTATTTCTCCCATTTAGCGAATACAGTTCGTATATTTATAACAATTATTGCTTGACCTTTCCACGTTTTCACATGGAACATTTTATTGATCATTTGTTCTAGAATGTTTGGGTTTACATTTTGTGCCCCGGTTTGGTGAATATTTATGATTTTAATGCGGAAGGGTCGGGGAGGTAAACAGATCTGAATTAAGATTCTTACTCACTGAGTACATGCTAAAGTGGTTTACATTCGAAGTATAAGCAAAAAGACAGATTTTGATTAGATGGGTTCAAATCTCATCTTTTGATTCGTCATTTTTAAGGTAAGAAAAGAGATGTGAAGAAACGAAGATCTAGAAACAAGAAAAGGACATCTGGAAATAAAAACAGGAGAAAAATGCTTAGTAGAAGACGGAGTACGTATATTTATATGCAAAATGAACAGACTACGCCCCCATCAGGTCAGCGCCATCTTGGATCCAAAATGGCCAGCGAAAATAGCAAATGTTACAATTTACCTCAATAATTCAATTTACATACCGTTTCATATGTCTTTTTATAGTTTTTTTGGGGTGCTAAGTTCAAAATAAATAATATTCTGAAAAAATCCGATAAACGACCGCCATCTTCCATCCAGTATGGCCGCCAAAATGGCTGCGAAAATGGCAAATTTTACATTTTACCTCAATTATTCAATTTACATGCCGTGTAATATGTCTTTTTATAGGTTTTCGGCGATGCCGAGTTCAAAACATGATGTTTCTTTACAATCCGGTAAAAAAAAACGCCATCTTTGATTCAATATGGCCTCCAAAATGCCAATGGGGGTTGGACGACTGAATGGTTAGCGTGCGCGCGCTGTATCATAAAGTCTGTCATTGAGTCGACTGGCGTGGTTTCGATTCCCCGGTTGTACGTGACAAGGAGTAGGGTCGCCTGTCCAACCTCGTGGGTTTTCTCCGGGTCCTCCGGTTTCCTCCCACTGCTAAAGACCCCGATGCGCAACGAATTATTGAAATAAAATTAAACCATATGTTAGTCCCGAAATGACCTAGTTGTGTCGAGTGGACGTTAAACCCCATTTCTCTCTCTCTCCAAAATGCCAAATTTTACCTCAATTATTCGATTTACATGCCTTTTAATATATACTTTTATAGGTTTTCGGTGGTGCTGATGTTTCAACACAATCCAATAAACGAGGTCATCTTTGATCCAATATGGCCACCAAAATGTCCAATTTTAAAGTTTCCTCGATTTTTCAATTTACATGCCCTTTAATATGGCCTTCAATAGGTTTTCAAAGGTCTGTTGTGTTGAGTTCAAATATTAAAGTTCCTAAAAATCCGCTAAACGGTCACCATCTTGGATCCACTATGTGACTAATGTCTAATTTTACACAATGAGGGGGTGTCCGTCTTATATAACGCCTCTGATTCTTCTAAAAAAATATGTTGATAATTTTTAAAGCCTTTAACATTATTGTCATTTGTAAATAGTACCATGTTTTTTTTTACAGAATCTAAAAAAGGGAAAAGACTACATGGAAAACATCAAAGGAAGAATTAATCAGCATTTGTTACTGCTAATTTTATGCACAAGCCTTTCAAGACACGACCCAATGCCAATATCATGATTTAATTTGAGCACCTTTTAAATCATTTTTTATACATACGCATTTGCCAGCTAACATTGTTGTTGATATTGTTTGTACTCTGGGAATGTATTACTGTGTCGACCGTATAAACAAAACTTAAAGATACATTATGGGAGATTAGATAAAGAGCTGGCAATTCTCACTATAATAGTTAAAAACTAGATAATGTAAAGGCAATTTGCTGAAAATTTTATTCAAATTGATCTACTATGAACCGAGAACTAAGCGATTGAAATTTACGCCTAGCCTCGATCATCATTACTAAAGTCAGTACGATAAACAGCATAGTCTCGATTATCCATTTAATCGTTAAATCGTGAAGGAAAGTTATGCAGTAAATCGGCTCATAATCCACTAAAGTTCGTAGGCTAGCGATGCCATCTAGAGTTGATTATGATCTGAATAAGTTAATTAATGTCTAATTAATAATTTAGATAACATTTCAGGCCTAAAGAAAGACCTGCAATAGACAGATTTAGCTCTTGCATAATGTATGTTTAAATGTGCATTAACCTTCTACTAATGATAACGGGCATAACCATGCATGATACTCCTGATTAACGTTCTCGACCTAACAGCAGGACTAACATCGGACTTGCTGGTTAGTAAGCCATGTGTTTAATGGCAGATATCACAGCTGTGCTTAACGACCCTCTCCATGAATCTGGGTAATCGAGGTAACCTTACTAACTCCATGTCCTGCAAACATTTAGTCGGAGGATATTGGTGGGAATAGGGTCGGTTTAATGTGGCCAAACATTCAGATTATCGTCCCTCTTTTCCTTATTACAGTCAAAGCACAAGTGCCAGGCCGAGAATCGGGGTAATCGAGGCAACCTTACTAACTCCATGTCGTGCACAAATGTAGTCGGAAGTTATTGGTGGGAATAAAGTAGGTTTAATGTGATCAAACATTCAGATTTGTATGTACGCGTCAACACCTATTGTAGTAACTGGATATCTATTTTATTAAATTGTAGCCAATTCTATTGAGTTAAAACTTTCTGACCAGGTAAATGGACCATCCTTCATTATTTACGTCTTGTTTACATAATTGAATCCAGTTATATCATCGGAATTGTAACACTATTAATAATAAAACGAAACGAAATCTTTAATTGGTCTATTTTTCTATGTTAAGTAACTTAATGTTGGAGTAACTGTGAACTGTGTGTTATTTACTTAATAAATGCGATATCAGTGATTCGCAATCACTGTACCGCCGCCGCACATAGGTGTGCCGCGAGATCTTCCTAAGTGTGCCGCGAAACCAGCTATTTAACTGATGAAATTCGAAACACTGCAATGAATAAAGTAAGGTCACAGCTGTGTTTGTCTTTATTTAGTTTGAGTCATTCTATGTTTTTATGACTAGTCTATGTCTACGGTTGTATGCCGTCTATCACTTGCCATGTGTTTATTTTGTAAAATTCAAATATTTTTTCATATATATTGAGCCAGGTGTGCCGCTATTTTTTTCATGTGTTCCAGGGTGTGCCATTGACAAAAAATGTTTGAGAACCACCACTGTAACCGAATCGGGGTATCATTTAATATTGTGTATTTAGCACTAATTTCTTTCACATTTGTTTAATATAAAATTTTTGTTTAAAAATTCGTAAAAATCTTTTATAATCACCAAAAATCATCTAAGTTATACCTGAATTCAGTTTAAAGTTGACCATTTAATTTTGATAACGAGTGTCCAATTTACAAGCGATTAATTTCTCGATCACTGTTAAAAAATAAACAACCCAACTGTTTATTGGTGTATAATGATTAATTTTTAAACAGTGTCAGGAAATTAAATACATGTAAATTAGACACTCATTATCAAAATTAATCAGTTTTAAACTGGACACAAGTACAAATCAGATGATTTTTGGTTGTTTTAAATGATTTTTACGAATTTTTAAACAAAGATTTGATATTAAACGAATGTGAAAGAGATCATTGCTAGTGTTATAGTACATATTTTGATATACATGTAATTACGTATCTAAACTGACTAATTGCTTTAAAGTGGATATGTTAATCTTTACTCCGAACCCCGATCGTTCTAATCTGAACGCACTCTTATCTATTTACCTTTTCTGAACATCTATCTTAGTACCTATATTTGAGTTATCACATTTTGTATTATATGTTTAACTGTTATTATGTATATGTTGAAATATTTCTAGTTTAATTATTATTAAGATATTAAGTTGGCGATAGCGACTGGGTATAAATATAAGAGACGAAATACGAACAATTATGTTCATTCGTTAATAAACCCAGTTCGAAGTCAAATAATTAGTACGTATGTTTCGTATAGGTGAGTTAGTTTATAATTGTTGTTACATAATGACAGATTGTATAGACGCTTCCTACCATCTTGACACGTGAAAGTGATTTTAAACCTATCTACTATCGACACCCCTGGAGGTCTTGGTAGCATTCCTTGTGTCATTATGTAACCTTAACTTGTTGGTGGCATGTTTTATTTAACTGTTTTTGTCTGATAAGCATGTATTAAATGTTAGACCTGATATGATACATTAGCCAGGTGTCTAATAAGATCCTTTGTTTTGATGGGTTTATAAACCCAGAAGGGAAACGACATAGTGAGTGAGGTCCGGGCAAGGACACAAGAGCGGAGGCCATGGCCTCCATGGCATTAGCCGAGACGGAACGAGGGAGAGCGTCTGGGAGTTGGCACACTCGTGCCTAGCCAAGCTAGGACATGGCTCCCTCAATACAAGTTAGTTATGGAATCTTTTAACATTACGATGTCTGTACGTGATATGTAAGAAGCAGAGAATAAAAGTATTATAAGATGTTGAACTAGTCTTGTCATCTGAACCTGATATAAAGGCCCAATACTGTAACATTGTGTCGCCTAATAATTCATTGAGTATATATGTTTATTTTACGCTTATTGTATGTTTCTTTTATGCATAATATAATAATGTGAAATAGCTTAGAATTACACTTGGTCACATAATATGCTAAAATTATATATTCAATTATTCATTAATTGATGTTTTAATTATGATTTCAATATATCTTTATTTGTGTTATGATGTTCATTCGTTAATAAACCCAGTTCGACGTCAAATAATTAGTACTTATGTTTCTTATCCTTGAAAAATAAATATTGTAAGAACGCTGTGCCTCGACGTATTAGAGCTACGCATCCCTAGCATAAGAAGTCCTAAAATACGTCAAGCTAGAGCACGCTCGCACTAGATACACAAGATTAAATGATACCCGGGTTACAGTGCAATGTGCTATATTAAAGGGGAAGTACGAGCAGGAACTAGGCTTCTAATTATATTGTAGACATGTATAGGGTGGCCCATGTACTCACAGAAATACAGTCCACCGCTGATAGTTCGAGACTAACACTGAAGCGTGCACATTCGCCGTGCCGAGACCAACTTTTTGACAGTATGATACTATAAATAGCCATGGCACGTGCAATTCGCTACAAATCTATCAACTATTACAGCCGTAAAAAATTTATTGTTGACGATTTTGGATAGCAGTTAAATTAAGCTTCTTGGTTATTACAGCAGATTTAGAAATTACGTTCGTTTCATTTTTTAAATCGCTTTATCATTAACTGTACCGTTAAGAGCGGCATCCTTTGGTTTAGTACAAATAATATATCTGAATCACTCGGGTTAGGCAGGAACATGATACAAGCAGTAGTTTCATTTTACTTTTACAAGCTTCTTAAAACGATTGTTGAGCTACCTAACGTGCTTATTTCTAAATTCAATTTCTTGTTCTAGCTTTCTGTTACGTTTCGTAAAAAAGTAGTCTTGATTATCCCGACCTGTCAATCAGACGTAGAATGGTCGATAGACTGGTTAAGCGAGACTAATTTCAAAACAAGGGCACGTAACCTATCTTTTACTCAAAAGTGTCTGGATGTTATGGACGACTCTTGGAACCAGTTTTCAGTCTATTATTTATACATGATTAATGGTCATAGCTTATTAAGTACAACATGATCGTTTATTTAGTGACTATAATTGTGTGAAACTGATTTGAGGCTTGGCATATATATAAATATTGTGGCGTAATTGTCGAGATATATGGAGATATTTATTTATGGTGGGTCACCCTAACATGTACCCTATATGTATTGAATACTGAAGTATTTCTTGATTGAATTTAGAGTTTAGACTACTTTTTTTTATACATTTCACCGATGTGGTTACTTGTATAGTTGAATTTTACTACATATGCTTACATTCATATTTCGTGTAGCATATAGCAGATCATGACTCATGCTGGCATTACACAATGGGTTCTTTTGGTTGTATTCCTAATTGTTTTCAAATTTGAGTGAAGTCTGTGTCACTACAGACCCGGGACTGTACAGCGCAGTGGACGCTAACTGCTAGCCCCCGGATCCATTCACTTTTTTGAATTGTCTGTATGTTTGTGTTTTCCTGAGTGTGATGTCCTGTCCGTGTATTTGTTTTTGTGTAAATTTTGTTTGTTACTATTAGTGAGCTTCACCAACTTGTAATCAATTGTTTGCAAGAAATACTGATATTCTTTTAGTCACATGTACAATACAATATAAATGAAATGAAATGGGGTTTAACGTCCTACTCTTCTGCACCTAACCTGGGCTAATTGAAGACGGACAATACAATATAAATGGGCAACTTTATGTCGTGTTTGATAGCTTGGTATTCGAATGTGAACTTTCGTCTTGGTGTTCGCGGCTATCAGTATACTGATATGATGCAGCATAAGGGATTCGATGTCAAAGTTGACGGGGAAGAAAATATCCAGAAGATTCGGATCTGTTTCTATCAAACATGGCGTAGCATATGATTGTCAAACCATTGGCTCATTTGCTGAAAAATCATAACAAAAACATTGAGAGTTCAGTTATCAAGGACATCTATCAATACATTAGGTGATGAATAGTATTGAATGTTTTTGTTAATAAAACGTGGCTTTTCTATTAGTACTTCCGCTTTAAACTCCCATAATCCTTGCTGTTTTCCTCTTTTAGTTTTTTTTGTTTCATAATACCTTAGCTTAGTTACCCGGTGTTGCACCGGCGAAAACTCCGCATATATCGTTTGGTTCCTGCAATCTGATTAAAATACAGATCTATATTTCGTTTCGGTTTTTTTATACCGTCGATGGCCTCCACTACAGGAAGATCTGAACAGCTAAAGTAGGAGGTCGCTTCAGGTGTCATACGAGCGGCTTTTGACCTTATGAAACAGACATTGGTTAATCAATCAGCGTTGACGTTTCTAATGGTTTACCCAAGGTTCCGTGCACCTCACCCCAAAAGCTGACCGTAACGGACCGTTTCATTGGCTAATTCCTCACATCATCAAGAACCCAGGTTATACAACAACTCTTCCAGATCCTAGTGTAATAAAGACAAGTAAAACGAAATTTTAAACTTTAAAAACAAAAACGAAATAGGATCTGTATTTTAATCAAACTGGTTTTAATGTAAATAACAAACAAACAAACAAACTCTGTCTTTTATATATACTCTTCAACAAAAGTAGGGGATATTGAAATGCAAATACCTATGCAGGTTGCGATATGATAAATAGTCATGGACATTTGACATGCTTTGAGAGTATGTTCACAGATGAAGAACTTATTGCCCCAACAGAACCACCGAGCTGCACATGCGACACGCAATAGCGCCATACACGTGGGGGGGGGGGGGCATTGTCAACTTTCACACTTCAAGGAAGGGTTGATGAAAACTGCCGCGTGCTGGTTTATCTATCCATGTTTGCTTTCCTATCAGTTCTTGCATAAGATTTACTGCGTAGCGTATCTTTGCTTTAGTGTGTTACGTTTAATTTGATCGGGAGCCGTGTTCGTCGACGTCAACGTCAACGGACAACACTGCAAGAATTGACCGTGGCGCTGCAAGAGGAGTGGGTCAGATTGCCCCAAAACAGCAGTGCATCTCCGCAGTTCTGTATTGTTTCTGAATATCCCCTACTTTTTTTGAAGAGTATATAAGGACATTTGTAATCTGTCATTGTTAGGTCCTTTAGGAACGGTCTATGATCGGAAGTTATCATCCATATTAATATGTAATTTGTTGTTACCACTGCTAACTTTGCAATAAAGAAAACTTCAAAAACAATTGTTAGCACTGTGATCTTCTTACTTGAGCATAACTACCTCCTGTCACGTATACAAAAGAAAGATAAACGTGACCAGGGGTTGTGTTGGCTGGGAGTGGAGGTATTGAAGCTAACTATTGGCCCCATGTATACATTAACAAATGGTTTAAAATCTTTATATCTCTTAATCCATTTTTAGGCAGGAATTTCCTGTTGAAATTGGATAAAGAATAGGCGACACACCGCTATATGGGCACAATTTAGCCTATGTCCATCATGATTAGCAGAAAGGTGGCCACGGTGACTTTACGCTTCACAAAAACTTAAATATCCTTAAAATCGTCTTAAACTAAAATTCCATCCTAATTTCACAAAACTTTTTAAAGCATTTTAGATAAAATCCACTAAAATAATATTGTAAATTAAAATTGTATCTTAACTTAAACATATATTATGCAAGAGCTAAATCTGATTATTGCAAGTCTTTATTTAGGCTTCAGATGTCAT